TCACTGCTGTCTATGGGAATTTATTTGTAGTGGTGCACCCTGTATCATCGTCCTTTTTCATTCGTACAGAAGAGTGCGAGGCGATTTGCTTGCTGTGATGAAGTCGCAGTTGTAAAGAAATTCACCAACTAGTGAAAGTTGCGTGGCGGGTCCTTTTGAGGTATTAAAATGCTGCTGCCATTAGTTCAACAGAGACAGGTGACTCTTCCTGCTATATGTAACGTTTGAGCATAATTTGGGCCATTTCAAAGCCTTTCCTTGAACATGGCTTCGTCTTACTTAGAATATTGCTCACTCGTACCAAGCACGAGGATCACTAGTCCTACACACAGGCGTTGGTTCTCTTTTGTAATCTGTCTCATAAGGCAGATTTTAAAAAGGGCCATTTACAGGCCTGTGTGTAGGGCTAGATCATGAAGGAACCGGTCCTCGCGCTAAATAAGCTTTGACGTTAAAACAATAAAAAAGACATTTACTCAACTTAGCGCAATTTAAAGCCTAGGCTATACATGTATTTTGCTTTCTGCTTCCTTGCGTACACCACTCTGTAACCACAGTTCTACAGTTTCTTCGTAGTCACGTTGCGCGTTTTTGAATAGGGAAATTCTCTGAGATGTTTAAAAATTTGCTTGGTCGTCTAACGTTTTAAGACCGGCTCAGGAGAATGAACGTTGATAATGCCGCTGCTGCATTCCCTGAGCCGGTTTTAAACGCATGTGCAAGAGCGGCCAAGCACATATTTATTCCCTTGTTCATCATTTTTAACATCTTCTTTGGAATACCTATCGCAAAGCTCCGAAATCATGAAAATTTCTGTAACAGAGACTCCCTGTGATTTAGAGTGGCTTTTAACAGAAAACGGGTCCTCAAGTTGAAAAAGTTGGAATTTATATTACAAATCAAAGTAAGCAGGAAGAATTTTGCCACAAAGGATGTCGCGTGCATGAGGAAATTCCTGACAAATATAGGCGGATGTGAAGTTATCCGGAACCCTCTTTACCAATTGGTCTGACAGTCTGGAATACGGATCATGTATCATTTTTAAGTGGAGTCTTCTGGGATAGCTCCAGGTACGCCTAAATACACTACTGTTTCCAGGGTTAATGGGGTAGCTGAAGATGATTTATATCAAGCATTGCAGACAACAGCTATCCGGAATAGACGGAAGTTGGAATTTAAAGGAGAATGCAGGTGAGGCTAACGAACCGTCTGAAAACAATGTTTCCGCTTCAAGTAAAGATTTATTATCAAGCATTGATAATTTCAGATACGTCCAAGTAAAGATTTATTATCAAGCATTGATAATTTCAGATACGTCCAAGTAAAGATTTATTATCGAGCATTGATAATTTCAGATACGTCTGGAAATTTTTTATATAGAACAGTCACACTCAAAATTTACAGACTGATTTAACATGCGTACTTGTATAGAAAAATGATTTAGGATCTAGCATTGTGCAACATTATATGTTCTGACAAAGAAACAGTACACATTTTGGCTCACCCATGAAATCTAAAAAAATTAGTCAAAAATCGAAAAAGTTAAAAACTTGAAAACGAAACATGAACAGAACTCAGGAAACCGTTTCTCTCTTACCTGGTGGACACTTGCTTATTGTATCGTCACAAAAGGCTTTTATTGAATCCATCTGCAGGAAAACACAGGAAAGCAGAAATGATCATGTATACTTATGTTATCGTTATCAAGACATAATTTTAAATAAAATTGACAAAAAGTCACCTTAAGGGCCATTGTCACAGAACTTATTCAATAATGTATCTTGAGATTCAAGACGAGTTCCCTCTCAATGATTTATCCTAGCGAAGACGCGTCCTGTGGCCGATTTCACTAAACGCGTCTTTGTGTTAAAAATCACAAAAATGAGACAGCCGAATATTAGGCCTACTGAAAGAAAGTTAATAGCAGCCTTGGTCAGTCTGTAAGATATTGCCACCCAAAATGCTGTCGTTTTCGAGAAAACAGGCATTTTTTCTCTTTTTTTCACGATGGTCGGCCCACCATCTTTTAGAAATAAGTTTCGTTTTAAATACATCCGTTTACGGACCCTGATTTTTGTGTGTGGTGTGTAAGAATGTTGTAAAAAGTCGTAAACGGGTAATTTTACAAGCAGCCAAAACACACCGGCGGACATTCACAAGATGTATTGAAAAGTGAATCAATAAAGAAATGAGGCGTAGGGTATAGCGTAAAAGAGGAACGTGGTCAGTTCTAAGTTAGATTTTATCTACGAAAAGAATTCTTAACGCCAAATTGTTGCGAACTCCGTACCACCCCCAAAAAATAATGGTATAGTCCAAACCGTATGGTGGCTGCCGTTTCTAAGCTCAGTGCACAGCTAAAAAATCGTCGACAAAACTACGATTTCCAGATGTTAAAACTCCTGGGTTTCCAGATATAATTTCCTCTGTGTCAATAATTATTGTCACAGGCGCGCCCCGAACAAAGATGTTGACAAATAGAAAGAGCCACCAACATAGGGCGGGGTAGCTCAGTTGGTAGAGCACCGGTACTGTATTCCGGAGGCCGCTGGTTGAAATCCCGCTCCAATCAATTTCTTTGTTCATCTTCATAATCCAATCATTATTAGTAAGTAACCTGAGAATGACTGTCGACTTCAACTAACGTGTAAACTGACGCGGAAGTGACGCATAATCATGCATGCACAAGACTCATCGTGTCAATCGTGGATACGAGTCGACTGTAGAAACTTCACTTTTCAATCAAGTTTTTTCCATGAATTCACGGTGCTACGTTGTCGAGAAGGCATATTACTTTCAGGTTATTTTCCCGATGGTCATGGAAAGCTGCTCCTCGGCCCGGCAGCTCCTTATACAAGGTGCCCTCATGTCTGTGCAACTGCAGACGGACCCCGCGAGCATGTTGTTCCAACCAGAACGCCATTTGGTTCATGGATTTTTTGCGCAAGAGACCGCTACGTTTTTCGCGATTCTTCACAAAACAGTCTACTTCAACAAGAAACAAGTCGGTGGAACAGCAGTACCCTAATTCAGCCAATCATGTAAAATCACGCCCCCAACCCCCGCTGTTTTCCTAAAAGAGGATAACTTTTCCCATGTGCGACTGTACTAAGTTTTCAGCGTCCGGTATTTATTGTCTTCGAGTTCGTCATACAAAGAATGTGTAGTTAAGAACATCTGCCTTTTAAGTTATGCTCCAAAATGTTTTCAACAAGTTTCTGTTTCATACTCATAATAACTCCCTTCTTTAAAGAATTCGACAAGTGTTTGGAAAAGTATTCAGGGAGAAATTTAATTTCTCTTCCAGATTTTGTAGTTGTTACAATACCCATAGATACGTCAGACTGGCACGAAATAATATCGTAAGTCTTTATTTGCGTACGGTTACACCGCAATACACCAGACTTCATTTATTTTAGAGTTTTATTAGTGAGAGGGCAATCATTTTTGGTACGATGTTTCTATATCAACGTCAGACGATTTTCAGTTAAAATACCAAAACGTATTTCTGAAAGGCCTTTTCGTACTGAGGGGTCCGGAAGCATGACACTAAAAGATAGATTTTAGGCTCTAACGTTATAACGAAAATCAACTTCGTCTATAACGAAAATCAACTTCGCGGGGAAGTAACCGCTATCACTCACCGAAATAGTAATAGGTAGTCTCGCGCAGGCCTCAATGGACGTGACCAAGACAGTGCTGGAACCCTCGTTCTGCAGGGTGAATCTTCGCACCCTGTTCTGCCCCCGTTGGTCACCTGTCTCTGGTTCGACAGGTGCCGTCAGCTCCAACTCGGCCCGTACTTGGCTTTTGTTGTGATGATGACGATGACGTTGGTGGTCCACCACCGTGGCTCCACCCCGCTCGCGATGCCCAGGGCCCCGTGCTGAGTGACTCTTGGAGCCCTTCTTGGGTTGTACAGTGATGTTAAATAGCGTCTCACCGTCTGGACACGAGCATTTCTGGCCCAACTCGGTTCTCAGCTGCGTCATAAAGACGTAGGTGACCGCAAAACAGGTTACTGAGAAAGCGGTTAACAGTATCAATCCAAAGTAGAGGATTTTTAAATGGAGCGTGTGGGTACACGCATTGGTTTTGTCCTCCGTCATGTTCAGTACATGTACATCGCGTGCCACCCGCTGTAATTCCAGTATAAAATGTGCACTTAATATAATGCTCGACGCGCGTCTTTTGTGCGTGAGTGTTGATGACCTCCCGTAAACTTTCAGCCAATAGGATCGAGGAGTACTTTGTCACCTTAAGTATGCTGTACAATTTATGACACATATTTCTGCCTCTCTCCAGCCTCTTCTAAGGCGACGCAACTGCACGACGCTACCGAACGACGGCTCCCTCACCAATATTTTAGCTTTTCCTGCTCTAATTCTGATCTTTCTGATCATTATTTGTATATCCATTCTAAGATACATCAATCGCTAATATAACATGCAGAACTGATGAAAAATTATGTGCGTGGCCAAACAGAGTTGAAGAAAAGGCACCGTCAAAATGATACTAGGGTCTACGGTGTTTATTCAGAAACACGGACTAATATCATTGAAAGTGTGGCGCTGACAAAGGCTTAAATGAAGGAAAACTGAAGGCGAAATGTTCTGAGGTTAATAATATAATGCAGACTAGTGGTAACTTCCTAAACCCGTGGTAAAACGTGCGGTCGTGCAATTTAAGAAAAATTGTCTGGAAGAGTGGAATTTGGAATTTTGAAATTTGGAACTTTGGAATTGCTTGGATGGACCACAGAGAAAAAAATCAATAAGGTTACAAATCTACCACAAATGGAAACTTCATCAACAGTCTTAAAAAGAAATTGGACAGAAATTAGAACAAGGATTGGCCATTATATATAACAGGTTTTGCCCTTACCCAACGTATGTTAATAAGCACCGTATGCTCAGCGCTTGTCCGAGAGCTTGCGAAAAAACCTCACAAGCTTACTCGGGTGGGACTCGAACCCACGACCTCCCCAACGCCAAAAAAATACATCTTGAAAATAGTTCGCGGTACCCGCTGCTTCATTTGACTCGGACCGGCCAGCCGACCCCGGCAAGCTCGGTGCTCGAGTGGTTGAGACATCTGCACTAGTAAGCAGGAGGTCGTGGGTTCGAGTCCCACCCGAGTAAGC